TCTGAAATGTCAGTAGCAGTGGTGCTTTCCTTACGGCATGAGATTACTGACCTCATGTCCAACCTTCTCATTTCAGTGGGCATACTACCGTCGAAGTGAAGTTTAGGAGTGCGTCGGCTGGGATTTCAACCCAAACTGACAATCAGGTGATTAAATACAGTGGAGAAACTGCAACAGTGGACAAGGTGAACAACTGACCTGACTTGACTTCTTAAAGAAAGAGAGAAAGGAAAATGTGTTTGGAATGTGTTTGAGTTTGAGTGTGTGTGATAGTTTTATTATTTTTTCAAGAGTGGTGACTAGCAGTGGAATCTAGAGTGAGCATTCCGTTCTGTTTGGGACTCGTCATCTGGATGTGCTTGCCCACCCCCACCCCCGGTGAGAGTTATTGTTTGCAATGGGACTCGGACCCTGCAGTCTTGTTTTAACACTCCAAAGCACCATCTGCTAGGTCATTTGAGCAATGAAAGCCACCTCCTACTCAATGGCTATCAACTATTTTGTCTGTTTAATTTAATTTTTATATTTTCCGTTGATTGGTTATACTGGACTGAAATCTTCGGGCCCTGTTGACATGTCGGTTCCTAGTACGATGGTTATCGTGACGCCTGGTGAATAACTCCTCGTTGTTTGAAACGACGGGTGTTGAGTTTGAGTCTCAGTGAGGACACTATCACTTACTGGGAATATGGGTACATCCAGCTGAAGAGTTGAAGATAGGAAGAAATGAACTTACCAGATTCCACTGCTAGTTACCACCCACCTAATAACAGCATATTAATCTTTAGACATCGTCGAAGCATCCGTACAGGAGACCGATACATCAGTAAGGGCCCAACGTTTCAGTTAAATGTGATCAACCAACAGAGGATACGAAAATTGAACTAAACATAAGTTATTTTCTAATTTGCTGTCGAAAGTTTGTCATCCCCAATCAACAACATGACGGAAGATGAAAATACGGAAGAGGGAAGAATTAAAAAAAAGACAGTTGTTATGAAATTTCTTTTTGTAACATTTCCATCATTTAGTTAGTTAGTCAGTTAATTAGTTAATCAGTAGTTTCTTTATTCATTTGTTTTAGTCAGTATTAATTTATTTCAAGGTAGTGTCAAAAATTACTATAAATTCATAAGTTCATTTAATATTTCTCTTTTTTTTCATGTTAAAATACAACAATTGTTGTTTTCTCCACCTTCACAAAAATTTACAGTAATGTATATATTTCAGTCGCTAATGTAAATTTCCTTCTTTAATTTTATTTGTCGTTCCCTTGGTAACAGTTTGAAATTTACTCATCTGGACATTTAAAACAAAACAGTTACATCTACAACAACAGCAATAACAAATTAAAGGCAGAAATATACTCCTTTCTTTTAAGTAGTTTTATTATCAACGGATCTAAATTATACATCAGTCATATAATGACCAAAAGATTAATTACTTTGTGTTATACACGACGTTGCCATATTGTAAGATCATCTACAGATGTAGTCGTAGGTAGATGGAAAAATGGAGGGAGTATTTTCTTTTTTCTGATTTGATTCCTAGTGGAACATAGGGCTTCAAACTAGAGCTATCAAATTTCGATAGGGTAAATTTAAGCTTTAAGTACCACTGACAACTACCAATCAGCGAACGGCCTTCAATGAACCACTCACTTGAAAGAGGCATTTTTGGTTGTGGAAAACATATATTTTCATGGTTTTTACGAGTTGTTCACGGATTGATATTATTTAGGGAACCATTGAAAACCAGCACTGGAGTACTGGACAGCCAGCTGTTTCATCCTAGTTTGGGAATCATCGGCAGTACGCACCCACACTGCGGTGTTCGAACCTAGGATCTTCCGGTTACAGGGCTATCTTGTATACTATTCAGCCACTGGAACCCAATTCAATGGCCGTTCCATGAATTCTACCTGTTTAATGGTTCTCTGGGTGATATCAATCTGAGATCAACTCGTAAAAACAAATCTAATCCTTACAAACCAACTATTGAAAATATGTTCATGGTAAAAATGCATAAAAACTGGGAAAAAATGTCTCATAGGACACCTGTCACTGACATAGGGTATAACGTCTCCCAGTTGAGTATAGGGTTATCAGTTAGAGGGTTACACCACATTCTATACATACATTCATCTCAATAACTATAAATGAGATACTTTTGAGATCCATTAATTGGCCCTAATCCTGTTTTTAATCTTCCCCAAAATGCATTCTGTAGAACTGATGTGTGTTCCTGTAATGGGATCCACGAAATCATTAGAATAGTTCACTCTATGGTGAATATATATTCAAGGGGTGACAGGTAGTTATAACCTTCCCACTGTCCACGTGTAGAATGACACCTTCTTCTCTAACAACGAAGTAATTCTTTCCATTTTCCATGACGCGATATCTCTGCAGTGCTGGTGCCACTGAACTGTTGATAGGAGACTATTATCTCTATTTCAGCAGAAGGTGACAATAGTGTCTAGACCTGATTCTTTGCCACGCTCAGCTCCTGTTTGCAGTGTCCAGAATCTAGAGGCCTTTGGTAATTTATTCGATACCCTGATAGATGATAGAGAAAGATTCTTCAATGTGGCTAGCTTTGTGGTCTGTTTGAACGAGGTGATCTAATACAGAACTTTCGATAGCTTTAACAGCAGCTTTATTTAACGACACTGGTAGGTGTAGTGTTCTTGAGGATGAAAAATTAAGTTCCTAGAGCAATGGTCAATGTAACTAGCTCCACAGGAGCAGTGGAGGTGATAAATATAATTAAGGGTGGCTATCCTAGACATTTTATTCTTCAGTACGGAATCACAACCAGTTTTGTGGAAAATATAAGCTACAGCTTACCGGCATTAAACATTCTTTGAATCGTCTTTCTCAACTTGTTGTTTATTATGCCATATGGTATATAACTTTTGAGTTATGGTCATACATATAGAGACTTCTTCTTAGTAGAATCAGAAGAGCTGTTTTCTACTCTCTTGGCCATGTGTTTAACGATGAACTTTTCAAGGTAGCTGTTTTCAATTAACGTGTCGTTTAAAACCTTAAGTTCGTCTTCAGTCGCATCTTCGGAACAAATAGGTCTGACCCTATTACTGAGGGTCTTTACCAAATTTCTTTCGTACTCTAGAAGAACAAAGCTGTGAAAATGTGCATATTTACCTTTCAAAGTACTTTTCTTATGCGAATTCATTTTTAATGCTACTATCTGGTTTTTCTGTCAGTACAATGTCCGGAAGGACAATTTCACTTTGGGAATTTACTCTTCATTGAACTGAGATATTATTGCGTTCCTGAGCACCTTCTATTAGATCTTCTACAGCTGGTTTGAGCCATGTAGTGTGTGGGGGTGGGGGAAGGGGTTGTAGACCGCCTGGCTGATGTACTCAAGATGCTAGAAATTAGTGGTCGAAGAGTTTTACTATAGCTGAAAATCGTTCTCAGTAGCATAGATTTGTTCTCTGGTCACTGTATTCCAGATTTTGGAAGTATTCACAAATCTTCGTCTAGCCTACTGTCTTCACAATGTTTTCATATATTTTTCTATCGCAGTATTATTATTGTGTCTGTTAACTCCCAGCTTGACTATACTAAGATGAACAGCTTTCTATCAGGAATTAGCAAATGGTCTTTGTCTAACGGCCCTAAACTTAATCCTTCCAAATGTCGGACTGTTAATTTCAGTTTTCGATGTAAACGAAAGTTAAATGAAGCCGTTGGTTCCTATGACCCTTGCAAAATCGATAGTACTGATATAGAAACCAAGTCTGAAGTTAAGTATCTTGGATTACTTCTCTCTTCTGACCTATCCTGGTCCTCCCATGTCTTAGCGGTTTCTAAAAGAATATTTCGTCTGACTTTTTACATTAAGAAGTTGAGGCACTCAGGTATAACCCAACCACTCCTCTTACAGTTTGTCAACTCGTGCATCTTACCTATTCTTCTTTACTGTTCACCCTTATTCTTTCCTGGATTGCTTAAAAAAGACTATGTCATACTTCGTAGAACTCTGAAGACTGTCAGTAGGACGAGTGGTATCCCATTGGGCCATATCATTGACATTGTCACTGAGTGTCACTTAATGTCATGCAACAAATTCGCCAGAGGAATTTTGTCAGACTCTGAGCACCCACTCTACCCGCAGCTCTAACCTTGTGTCTCCTCAGGTGAAACAAGAAGTCTTTTCAGAAGAATTTATGCACGTACATCTAAGTATAAAAATTCCACTGTACCATATTTAACACGTGTTTTATGTGATGAAAATAGTTTCAGGCACCACTAAATAAACCATTTCCTCCACCCTTACAGCATCAAACATTATTTTTATTGTATTTCTTATATTTGTAATCCTCTCAATTTTTGTTTTTGTTTATTTTTTTCATAAATGTAAACATCATTTAAGCTGTGTTATAATTGTTAATTTTGTATTTCCTCTCACTATACTATATCAACAGAACATTAGATCCAATAATCTATAACATGCTAAAGTTTCCAAACTGAATCGACAATACCGTTTGAAACAAACTCGCTGTTATTATTACTATTACTATTATTATTATTATTATTATTATTATTATTTAATCTCACTTCGTGCTTCGAATATTTTTGACTTCATATCGTAAATGTGGACAAATTCCTCCGGTTAATTTTTTGTTTTAATTTTTAATTTTATTTATATTTTAAGTAAATCAGATGTAAAATTGTGACAAATGCTGAGAATTCCATTCTATATTATAAGGACTGTTTTTGGAATAAAGTAGATTATTATCATTACTATTTTATGTTTTCTTTTAAAGTATGGTGACATGAAGTGATGGGATTTCGTGCACAGTTCTGATTATTTAATCAGCAGTTAGTCGAGAAATTCGATATCCGTTTCATGGTCGTAATATTTTTTTAGATAACTAAACATAACAATGATTATGCTCAATCTACACTAACATTTCATCGTCCTTTTAATCGATTTATTTATTCTTTTCATTCTGTTGTAAAAAGGCACATTGTGTTCGTGGCGGTTGTCGTGATGCTGATGGTTGGTGTCGTGTACTGTGGGGTAAAACAGCAACAATTGCTGATAAATATTGTTTCTATGAAAATGAAGTATGGGATAGAAAACCAACTGTGGATTCCGTGGCTAATTGTGGAATTAATCGACCATTACCACGTGATCGATGGGAAGATGTGAAAACATGGTCAGGTATTGCCTGTGAAACATGGTAAGTAGCATAGTGTGTGTATGTGTGTGTGCATTATTATCATTTTTGAGGTTTGATTGAGTTCAAGTTGGACAGTCGGCTGACATCGTGCAGACAACCATTGAGAATCAGGGAGTATTGGACAAGATGTTGTATCAGAGATTGGGACTCCTCATCAGTACTTGCACACGATCCTGTTGATAAATGAGCCGCTGCGACTCAAGACAGTAGTGATGTATATAGTGCAACGCTTAGTCACTATTGATATAAGTATAAAACTTAGTCACTATCATCGGCCAGCATTTATCTTCACACTCAACTTGGCCGATCTTCTTCCTGCATCCTTCCCTTATACTTTAATTGAAATGATTCATTTATCTTAGCCAAGAAATTATCTTTAGCAATGGATCGTAGATAATAATAATGGCTACACCAACAATAAGTAGTCTAAATCATCAGTAGTAATTCCATACAAGGAAGGAACCTCGGAAACCACGTTACTCAGAATTCTTAACAATGCAGGAATAAAGGTGGCTGGTGTTCGAACCCATAAACTCAATTAGAAACAAGCTTTGTCGGTTAAAGGATCCTGCCTGTGGAGCCACTTAAACAAAACAATTTAGTTTATCTAATACCATACCTACAATGACTGTCAGGTCAAATACATAGGTGAAAGTAGTAGAACAGGAGCAGTCAGACTAGCTGAACATAAAAACCTAGAGAAATCTAGATTGGTTGATCCAAATAAAATAAGAAATCTAGAGAATAGTTCGGCTATAGCACTGCATGCAGTTACACACAACCATACAATAAGAGGGATGGGATAAGATGACAGTTTTAAAATCTAATGTCAAAGGGTTAAGGGAGAGATTGATAAGTGACTGAGGCTTTGTTTATCGAATCAACTGCAAACCAACACGTGTAATAGGAATGCTTCAATACCTGTCCACCCAGATATCTGGGGAAGTCTACTACCCCTACGACGACAAATAGGAGAGGACAAAGGAAACTATAAAAGTCAAGTTTCAAAGTCGTGTGATTATAAATGATATGATTATGAATAATAACGATAAATTTTGTTCGAAACCTTGTCATCCAGTAAATAATACTGTTTCACTGTGTGATACATCTAATAAACGAACTGGTATGGAATTACTTACTACCACAGTGCCCAAGTTTTACACATATATATTAAAAGTCTGAATGTTCTAATAACTGTAATAATCCAAAAGTAGTATGTTGAATGACTACTTCTATTTTAGAAGACGAAGGGAGGAAGTTAAGAAAGGTTCACTTTTCAACTAGATCCTCATCTCTGGCTGTACTCAAATATATATATAATTAGCACTTTTAATACAATACATAGTGGCGATATCTTTGCTAACAGTAATTTGTCAATATCATCTCGTTCAGGGAGGGGGTGGGGTGATAATTACCCAAGAAAATCAATATAAACAATTAAAGATTAGAAATAATTGCAACGAGTGCTTTGCATAATGTGTAATTTTGGAAAACAAAATGAAGAGTAATTAAAGTATAAGTGAATGTTCAGGGTGATTACGCAATAAACATTTAAAGATGAAAGGGTCAGGAAAGCGAAAATAATTTGGACAATGATAATTTTTAAAAGGTTTATGGGGAGGACGAGATAACCAAGGTAAGGGAAAGGGTTCTTCTGAACACACAGGTTTCGCTTATTCAGGTGGATTCCGATGTCTTCAGCTGTATGTAGAAAACGAACTCGAAAAGCGAAATCAATATTAGTCGGAATTCGATAAATGACTTTAAATACTCTATTAACATAGATAGTCTTTATGCTCATTATCAACGATATGTGCTGAAACAGAGCTACGCATAGGTCTTGTTTCCCTTCTTCTTTAAGCATTCAGGATGATGTCTGGAAATAGGGTGATGATGAACCTGCCTTACTGTACGCCCATAGGAGCAATCAGACTGGTAGATATAAATAAAGTGTGCAAAATTAAGTAGTTTGTCCTTATTTCTCAAAAGTAATATCGAATATTTTTTTTAAATGAACTTCGGAGGGTATACATTTCCGATAAGGTTCTTGTCGATGACTGCCATTGCCATCATAAGATTTCGACCCAACCTATGCATACAGAAAGAGAATGTGACTAATCTCTCACTACCCTGGTAACCATAATTGTTTTGTTCGTATGCTTTTCTGTTTTGTTCTGTTGCACAACATTCCACCCAATCTTGATATCGATTTTCACTTACTGAATTGAACTCACTATTAAGATTCCAAATCTACGAAATTAAATTATTTTATCTATTGTATGATTTTTTACTTCACTATTCATGCCCACCCTCCTAAACTACCCTGTGTTATTCCATATTGTATTTTGTCTCTAGTCCATCCGTGTTTCCGAGCGAAATCTGAACTCCACCTATCTGTCTAATTACTTTGTAAATAGTGAATCTGTTAACACTAACTAATTGTCTACTTACATCATCTTTGAAATTATGTTCCTTATACTTTCTGTCGATAACTTGAAGTCATTGTAAAAAGCGTCTCCAGAAATTTTGGCACATAATTGATTTGGTTACAGGATTTCGTCATGAGCTGACATTGGTTAGAGAACCATTGGAAAACCTAAGAGCACTGAACAGCTGTTTCATCCCACTAGTTTAGGACTCTTCATCAGTACGTACCCGCCGCCAGGGTTCGAACCCAGGACCTTCTGGTTACAAGGTGGGTAGTTACCTGGGGTCCTAATGAGAAGCCGTGACCAGTAGGGTACAGCGGGTCGGGTGTGAGGATAAATACTCGCCACTGATGGCATTGGGTAATGCCAGTAGAGCTATATTGTAAATTTGTAGAAGTTGGAATTCACGGGCTGGCCATTGGATTGGGTAGCAGGGGCCTAAGGGTCTACGAGCTCGCCTTGTAACCGGATAGTCCTGGGTTCGAAGCGCAGTGGATGCGTACTGCTGAAAAGTCTCAAACTAGGACAAAACAACTGTCCATTACTCACCTCAGGTTTTCCAGTGGTTGTCTAACTGATGTCAGCTCATGATGAAATCCTGTGACCAATCAGTCATATCCCTAAAAACCAATACTTGAATATTATTGGTTTATTCAGGATGTACGCAGTTGAAGAGAATCCATGAAATAAAATGAGGTCGTATCATCCTGCATGTATGTTCGTCCTTTCTTTATTCAAACTAATAAAGGGAACCGGCCGTTTGAAATGGTAGATATACATTAGAGCAGAGACAGAGATGAGGATGTAATTGACAAATAAACATTTCTTCGCTTAAATCCTTTTGTTTTCTCTACTGAAATCATCAAAGCAACACTTTTTTAAACATTCACTGATTAGCTCACTGTCACATACGCACAAACAAACATAATGGGTGCGGGACTAATCAAGAAATCGTCGAACTAATACATTCATATATAATATGCCGTAGTAAATTTCATATTTTAGGAATTGTACATTCAAATTCGATACATCGTCTCAGATTTAAGTAATTTTGACGCACTTATTACTTCTAATACAACGGATATGTTTGAATGTATAGGGTCGTTGAGCAGTATTCAAACAGTTGTCTCTTATCTCTGTATATACTACAATTTTCAAATAGTATATGTCGTTGATTGATAGGAATAGTTGGAAATCACTCATGTCAGTCAGTAGTGCTTGACAACCACACTAAAGTAACTTAAACACTGAAAAGCCCCTTCTTTCGTTCATCAATGGTACTCCTGAATAGTCTCCCTATGTATTACCAGTTAGCCCAAGGCGCAAGGCGAAATTCTGACTGGTTACACCTATGATGAGATCGTTACCAAACGAGTGCAATGACGGTCCAGCGTCCAAATCATTTTGATCTGGCCAATAAGCACTACCGTGTGATGTGAATGGTTCCGTACTACTCATATCAATGAGTAGTATATGTTTTCACCGTATATTTCCTTTTTTTAAACTACAATTCATGGTATAAAGTAGGGCAAATGTTGTGATTTGTTTTTTCAAGTATTATTGTTATTATTATCACTGATAGAATTCTAGTCTAATCAACTTATTCATCAAAAAGGGATGAGAAATACCCAGCTGAAAAAAATTGTTTTCCCATGTTAATATGTTTATTCTAATACGACGTTTTGACCACTGTTTATCATCCATAATCATGCCAAAGTGATAATTAGTCATACAAGTGCTAGTCATACTAGTCCTCTTCCCACAAATAATTCTATAACCGGTTAGATATTATCTAATAATCTTGAAATAGCAATGAATAATAAATAGATTCTATTGAAAACATCAGTGTTTGTTTACTTGTGTGTATATGTGTGCGTGTGCTATACTGAATAGTAATCAACCACAGTGTTTAAATTCTACATATATATTCATCAAAAAATATTCATGAAAATCTTGTCTAGACATTTGAAACACGGTCATAGCACTGTTCGTGATAATAATCTCCTTGCCTAGCGAGGATTTCTCTCTGTCTGACACCTTTTCGAAGTGATATTTATGCATAATCTGACATCACCTGTGTGTAATTACAGTGAGTTGTGATGAAAACAGTTTTTACCATTTGAAAAAAAAAACAAAAAACAAACAGTCTTCATAATGATCGTGGGGAAACTGTTAGATAGGCGCATTTAGATGAGATCTATTATGCAGCCCAGCTTGTAATTATCGAAAAAGCTAAAAATATGCTCCACTGCAAACCTCAAAAGTGCACAAGTGATTATGTCACATCCCACACTATTTACCAATTTTCGTATGTGTGTGTGGACACACATACATAGGGAGGAGTAGTCGCGCTTTGCATGTGAGGGTAGGAGAGCATATCCCAAAATGGTTAGAAAAACAAATGAATTGTGAAAAACCAATAGATTCAGGTGTCAGACTACCAACTTCGTCTATAGCTAAACACCTAATCGAGATGAACCATAAGACTGATGTTAACTCAGCCTTTAATGTCATCTACGAAAACTGTCAAGGGCGCATATTTAAATACGCCGAGGCTAAAGCTATTCATACCCCCCCCTCTGTGTATTCAAAAACAGTTTATTATTACTCTTAACCTACCTTGGTAATCCTTATTTGATTAGATTACCAAACGTTGAGTTAATCATTCTTAAATCTTTTTTTGTCACTTTGTTTAATTTAACTTTTTCATATGTATCGACTTGACAAGTAAATGTGTGATCAGATTGTTCGAAATGTATAGCGCAAATACACCACATTTTTCTAATAACCCTATCCAAATTTACATGGAAAAGTTTTATTTAAATGTGCTCATAACCTTTCATTTTTATCGAATTAAATTTTTTAAAGATATTTTTACTACTTTATTCTTCTGCATTCTGAATGGAACATAGGTCTTCAAGTTTGCTCGTTGAAGTGTCAATAGCAGTTCTGTTTCTTTTTACGAGGTGGAGTTGCTTGTCTCATGCCCAGTTTTGCTTCTTTACCGGGTTTATTTTTATTATTATTGTTCCCTTGGGTTCCGAGTGGAACATATGGCTTCAACAACACATCTCCACTTTGTCCTATTTTCTGCTGTCCTCTTTAGCTGGGTCCACGATTGACCATAATCTCCCATCTCCTCCTCGCCCCACGATCTCCTGCATATCACCTTCGGATGATCCATTCGTCGGTTGCCATTCGGGTTCCACTAGACCACTGGTCTGCATTGCGCCCGATGTCATTCGACAGAACCTCAACGTTTGTTTGATCCATCTCCATTTTCTCCTGCTTATTTCTTGAACGATAGGCTCTTGTTACTAATTCTTGCTAGCCATTTGATCTTCAATATATATAGTGGAGGCAGCTGTTGATAAAGTCTGTAACCCGTTGGAAATACTTATGATGGTGCCGGTGCCGAATTTTGACCCATACAGAAGAAGTGACTAACGTATTATTGGTGTTGAAAATTCGAAATCTGTTCTTTTTGCTGAGTGAGGGGAGAAGATTACCAAATCGATATCAGAGCGATGAAATTATATCTTACCTTTCCAATTCTGGCTTTGACATCTTCATCCGTTCCACCTGTGTTTGAAACAATGCTTCCTAGATAAGTGCTTACCACCGGCTAAGCGAGGTTTAAGAGTGCATTGGCGGGGGTTCGAACCCAAGAATACATGCGTGGTTAGCAAATATTCTGTGGCTGAACTACTGAAAAATATTGAACTAAATGGTTTAATTTTATTCCTAGGTCTTTTATGGCCAGTGTCTGTCTGTGAATAGTGTGAAAGACACCTGTGAGATGAAAAAATAACCGGTAATATGTATCGTTATTGACCGTTATCCATCGCATTTTAACTTTAGTTTAAATGATGAAACTTATCTTCCCTTCGAAGTTCCTTTAACCAACACTGGTTAAATTTTCAGAACACCTAGTTAATTTCTACTTTACGTTGATTAATTGTATTGGAGCCATGGCTTCGATTTTTGATATTACCCATTGTATAAGAGCTGACTCGTGTGTCCCAGTGCACTAATAGATAATATTTTGATGTTTGAAAGGATGAGTGCTAAGTTAGAGTTTCAATGGGAACACCATCACTCCCTAGGGATTGCAAGTAAACCTAGTTGACGAGTCCGAAATAGAGAGAAATGTGCATCCTGGATCCCACTGCTAGTCATTAAAGTTATTAGATACATTGAATGTTTATTAGCTGGTATGATCTGATTATCAGTGTAGTTTCATCGAATAGATAGAAGACATATATGTGATGTTAATTGATTTCTATCATCCTGGAAATCGCGTCAGTGGTCCAGTGGTAGGACACTGGCCAACCACGGAAGCGGTCCTGAGTGCGATCCCTGGCCGGCGCACTCCTTTATCTCACCTTGCCGGTAGTACTTGCGGTAAAGAGGAAAGGTTTGAGCATGAGACTAACAACCCCACCCCTTAAAATTAGACACTACTGCTCCTGAAACTTTGAAGCTCTAGCTTGAAGCCCTATGTTCCACTGAGAACGCCAAGGAATAAAATAAATAATCCTGGAAACTGGATATATATCCTGCTGTTTCAGTTATAAAATATGCTGAATTTAACGTTGTTCGGTCTTGCATATGTTTTGGGTATTTCTGATATGTATTTGAAGTCACAAAATAAACAGTCCTGAACTCCCATGTAAGGAAGAAGAAATATTTGTTGCAGTTGAGCGGATAGTCAAAAAGTATATCACAGTACAACTATGTACACAAGTGTACTATTTCAAGTTCCTGTACTTTGAAACACTACACAAAACAGGTTACCGGGATGGTGCTAAAATAAATAGATAATAGTCAGAAAGGTAACAGAATTATTAAATGAAAATTAGTAGGCGTCTTTTGGACTTCTGAGATGATTCAAGTGGAATACATCCACTCTATATGAACCGATTTCAGATCATGTCATCTAGGATCTCCAGTCATTGATTCTTATCATTTTGAGCCTGAAGACAGACTGCATCTTCCTATATGAGGTTGATCAAATATTGCAGACCTCATGAATTTCTAAAACGCTTGTCTCTAATCAATCCTAACCTTTCTTCCAACGTAATTCTATAATAGCTAAGACTGTTCTTCCAGGAAGGAATTGCATAACATCTCAGAAGGTTCCATCAATAATGCTATTATATGGGATTCGATACGTTTGCTAGTGATGAAGTTCTTTTAGAGCACTATACTAACGTATATTATTTTGAGTGGCTTTGTTCTTCATTGAGTTTTTTTCATGCTGGGACTCGAACTTGAATTCCCATCAGTAATTATATTTTATCATTCAGCAAAATATATCTACTCGTTTCCTCACATTAACTCTTTGAGCTGAATCAACAGAAGAAAATATGAAGATAAAAATGATTGTAAAAGTGATTTCTTCAGGTTTTAGTGTTGAGCTGTCATATGTCTCATATGTCAATGGTGAACTTCGTTACGAACTTACGTCAGTTAGAGTTCTCCTGGGATCCAAGTGGTAATAGAAGGCTTTTTTATCTTATTTTAGTAGTATTCTGGCTATCAGCAGAGAAGACACTGTGTAGTTTCCTCTTCCTAGCACTTAGGTCACCTTGTGAACACGTTGCCAATCACCTACAGGACTGGAAATGCATGATACCGTGATTTCCAGTTTCCCAACCGCCCTCCATTTTTAATTATGTTCTAGCTATTGTAGATTGCTGATGTGATCTATCTTCCATAAGAAAAAATCCCCCACAAATCTCCAGACTTTGTTTGATGTAACTAATATGTTAGCTTTATCATATTAGGGAACCTCACACATATAAATACATTTCTATCATGACACCGTTTGAATACTGAGACTTGAAATCCACACAATTTAAATAAATCCCAGGCTAGCAGATAGGTTTTTTACCGAAAACTGTACAACTTAAATAATTCTGAATTGAACTTTAGCGATGTCTAATCTTTCATCCACCAGCAACTTTTTGCATTCAATGTATACTACTATTTTTTTATTTAGTAAGCAAAACTGTTGGATGAAAAAATGTTTTGATTTTTTGTCTTGTAGGCATGATACATCCTGTGGTCGTTTATGGTGTCATCATCAAAATGAAAAAGCTATGCTTTTAGGTTGGATTCAATCACAAACTCGTGTTATCCACTCGACTGGTCGGTCTTGTTCAGCACTTGTTTATGATCCAGTTTGGCCTGCTTCAGATCCTGTAACATGGGATAAAAATAAGCTAACTCAAATTAATGCCAACGGTGCTGGATTCGGACTATACTCAGCTAACACTCAAGATGCTGGTATGGTTCCAGATGGAACACCTTGTTCTCGGGGTGTAAGTCTTCACTGACCTTTATAAAAGTTTTAAATGCTTATATATATACATATAATGAACGTTGTCTTCGGTGAAAATTCTAAAGTATTCCTAAGAAGCATAATGGAAAATAGATAGAGCTGAAAACGTGAATTCCCTAAATTTGACAGCTTACACCTGCATTTCAGGGCGCTGTTTATAAGCTGCGTATATTTTGCAGCCATGAACTACGTCGCTTAAACGCTAAGATCCAATGTGATTTAGTTCAACTTGTTATTTTTGGAGTGTGACGGGAACTATTCAAACGTGCATTATTCACGAATAATTCCCTTCTGAGCATTGGCAGAAACAAGACAGATAATTCAACGAGGAGTTTCCTTTTTTCATAGGATTCATTATCCTTAGCTGTACAGTGTCGTTTGTGCATACTGTTCTCTCGTATAAGTGGGTAATGAGACAAAGATGAATCATCGCAAGAATAGTTGCTCATGTTAATCAGTACATATGAGGACTTGAATAAACATGATAGAATTACGTCATGAGATAAATAATTTAATAAGTGAGCCGTAATCATGTTGAAAATAGTAGGGTTCTTACCATGATGATAGAAGTAGTTGAAAAATTTTATTTCATATTCAAAGCCTCGGTTCCTCCATCTGGATAGCCAGAACTTCATCAGTAGAAAGGAGACGAAAGTGCATCACCTTAGGTAGTTTGCCTTTCACTTTGTGGACTCCTTTAAAGAGGGGTTTGTTGAGACAGAGCGACCAGTATCTACAAGCCGTTCAGTTATTGCGCTTCTTAGAAATCGGCTGCTACCTTTATGCAGCCGTGAGGGATAGTGTTTTTGAACCCTTTTTTAGACAGGATCCACTTCGAAAGACCAATTTACCCAGTTCCACAACAATAGATGGACTGATATATGCACATAAAAGTCTTCAGATGCTAGATCTGGTCCTTTGGGCTCCAAAAGACCAATGAGAGTTCAGAGAACACAACTAATTCAATATCATCCACCTGAGCTAAAGTCGTCTCAATCTTAGCATCGTCATACATACTCGTATATATGCATATTACTCTTCATTTTTCATAAGATGTTGTTATGTTTTCCTGTTTACAGATGTGTTACAATGGTTCTTGTAAATCCATAGATGAGATTCGACCTCCGCATTCGTGTTATTGCAACGGCCGTGGAGTAAGTTGTGTTAAATTTTAGCCTTTAAAGTAGTAGTTGTTATACACTTACTTCGCTTATTATAGTTATCACTTTTGGCATATCTAATCTGAGCTTATATTTCTGTCCTATTTTTAACTGTATTTCACTAAACAAATACTGTTCTTCATAAGTGGAATCTATCTGATTTTTCTTGCATATAACATTACCTGACACAGAGAAATGACAAGAGTATGATGTCGCTATATCAAGGTTGATGAAAGCCACTTTATTGGTTGGTTGATAATTTACTGATCATAAACTGATCACGAAAGGTTTTTTGGGTTGTTGTCCCAAATGTTTATGTATCAACTTCTCAGCAGTAGGGTTGTTCGCTTTCCTAGTTCTTTAGTCAGTAGTCGGTAGAAGTTAGAATTCATGGGCCGTTGAATCGGGTCCCAGTGGCTGAATGGTATAGGAGTTTGCCTTGTAAACAGAAGGTCCTGGATTTCAAACCCAGTGGGTGTATACTGCCAATTTGCCCGAAACTAGGATGAAACAGCTGGCTGTCCAATACTACCTGATTTCCAATGGTTCTCTAACTGATATCAATCAGTGATGAACTCGTAAAAACATAACTAACCCTTACAAAAACCTAACTATAGAAAATTAATCTGATGCTCGCTACAGCTAAAATGATTAATCCTGCTAAGTTAAGTAATCTAGAAAAAACTCAACCACTGCACTGCATTCATACGCATGTAATCATACAACAGGATGCGACAGGGTGGAAGTATTAAAAAACGATATAGTTAGATGGAGAGGGGTGAGCGAGAGAAGTTCTTTGTTCATCTAATCAACACCAGACATGTGCAATGGAAATGATACAGCGCTTATAATTTGAATACGGCATTTAGAAGAGAAATTTCACGAGATGATGTCAATTCGTAGTTTCGCTACAATCGCTTGACACAACCAGCATGGTTAACAGTAATAGAATAAAGCTCATGACAATTACTTAGTTATATAAAACAAAAGTACATACAAATGACCAATCATATTTAAATAGGTCAAGTAGACCATGGTAGGCGAAGGTTGAAGTCTATTCTTTTTCCTACGCATAGCTTAGGATGCATGTGATTAATCCAAAGTGCTTCCATCACCTTTAATAACCAACCTTGAATTAGAGTTATGTGAAATAATTGTGAAGCTGTCATTGATATTGATTTTGTCACCTGACATTAATAAGTACTTTGCAATGGATGATGATAACGGCTTTCTATTCAGATTTATTGCATTGGGATTTTCGATGTGTTTTAATAACCATTTTGGAACATGTTCTTTTCGACAACATTGGAACATTCTATTGGTTTTAATTATATAAGCGTCACCGCAACTGCAGGTGAACGTGTAGAATCCACAGAATTTCGTCATTTAATCTTAGGTACAGTGATCGAAAATGTTCGTGATGTGAGGGAAAGAAATTCGGCGTAGAATGTGCCCTTGATGGCTGACCGAAGTCTTTGAGCTGTCAACTGCGGAACACATTTCAAACAATCTGATCACACACGGACTTGTCATAGGAATATGTATGATATTAATAAAGGGTTAAGAGGTGAGAAAATAAATTAAGGTCATGTAACAGGACATATTTAAGGTCAAAATAACAATGAAGACCACTAAACCAAATAAGAGAGATAATAGTACATTACTCTGCCTGGTATCAAAACAAGGTTTACCAAGAAGGTGGATTTAGTGTGATGACGAATTGTTTTTGAACGCCTAAAGGTAATTTAAACTTCCTAATTGCCAGTTGGAGCTTCCACAAACTTTAGGGTACGCCCCAAACATGTTCTATCGATATGTCTAAAAGATGTGTAAACATCAATTTTGCGTTCTGTCTCTATAATATGTTCCCATTAATGGTGAGAATAGGAAACCTAGCTCCTCTATCACGAATCATATTGTAGAGACAGGACATAAAATTAATGTTTACACATCTTTTAGGCCTATCTATAAAACGTGTTTGGGGCGTATCCTATCCCTAGGTAGCAATTAGACAGTTTAAACCACCTTTATGTGTTCAAAAGCAATTCGTCATCACACTAAATCCACCTTCCTTGGTAAACTTTGTTTTGATACCAGCCAGAGTAGATGTACTTTTACCACTGTTATTTGGTTTAGTGGTCTTCTTTGTTATCTATGTAATATTGTGTGAAATTTGATAACATAGAATTTAACGTTGCAAAACATAATTGATTTAGAATGACAAGTGGGACAAGTGAAATAATACCGGGGACAGTTCAAAGTGAGAATAGTGAAATTAGTGACCATTGACGTAATAAAGGAAGAGTATACAAACTGAATAGACAAAATGAAAACTTTGGTAGAGCCAAAATATGATTATGGATTACCATACTTTAGCATCGAGGGATTAAGACCATGAAAGGACAAACTTTTCCTGTACACAGAGATTCGGCTTTCCCGTTTCGATTGCCAAAGCTTCAGCATTACAGATGAGTCGAGTACGTAGTGATTTCAGTAAATTACTTTTTGCCATGTAGATGACTTTAAAGGCGGAGGTTATAGAGATAGGGTGATCATTATCGACCAGATGTTCAATGATCGCGCTTCTGATTGCTCCACTTCCACCTCTTCGTAACCATGCAGGGAGATAGTGTTATTGCACCCTCTTGGACAAAACTCTAGTTGAACGACCGATATACCTAGCTCCACACGAGCAGCCATTTAATATGGAATTGGTCGTCCAAGGGTGACTTGGAGGAGGTCATGTGAAGAGGAGATGAAAACGTGTGGGCAGACATGGAGACAGGTGAAGACTCTAGCAGAGAACTGAACGCATTGGAGACGCACGGCTGAAGCCCTATGTTCCTGTAGGAATTAAAGGGAACAATAATAATAATACACATTTACTTTTATTGTATTACATTTTGCTTTAATTTTTCTCTTCCTGTTGTTCTTCTCCTTCCCTCATTACATAGATTTGTAATAATTTAGGACACTGTCATTGTGCACCTGGTTATAAACCACCAAATTGTGAAGAAGGCGGTAACGGTGGCAGTATAGACAGTGGACCACCTCCAGTTACGCGTAAGTCCATGAACTAAATGAATTCTGTTACTTTTAAAACAAAAAAAAATAAAATTAATAGTTCCTATTTTTCCAGTTTGAAAGCAAATGAAATATGTTGTATTTTGTGTTATTTTATTCATCTTAACCCCTTAAAAGTGATTAGACGAGTATTCCTGGACAATGTTGTTTATTCAACAGTCGCATCGAAAATCTATTACTTCCAATGTCATTATTTAGACTGCTAAATATTAAGCAGATTTGAGACCTTTTGGGAGAGACCGGTATTTTTCTAGGTTTCATGACTTAACAAGCGACATCAAAATGTGTAAATGAAGTGAAGCATACATTCTTTTTGTGAAGTGGTTTCCAATGCCCAGTAGATTTATTATATTCAATCGAAGTGTTCGCTTTTTGTTAGCATATTGGCTACCAGTACGGACGTGTCGACACTGCCTTGTGGTAAACATCATGTTACTCTACTGTTTGAGACTAACAGTGGAATCAAGAACGGACATCTCGTCGTATCTCAGTCCTTCAACTGGCATTTGGGGCGATGTGTGCTAGCTTCGAACCACAATGGGAACACTACTACTTAATATGGATGCACAGACATCGAACTAGTGAGTCCCAGTTAGGGGGAAATGAGCATTGGAGATTCCACTGCTAGCAGCCACCACCTATAAGGGAACATCATGTTTGTTTCAGGGCATTATCGAGATGTCCGTACTAAGAGATGGACCATTGCAGTTTAATTTAACTAATCAACGAGAGGTGTAGCGATATACTGGCTGAATATAATTCAATAAGAAATGTGTGACGGATAATTGCAAAAGTTCGATTTACACTTACCCTTTTCATCATGAGCTAACATCAGTTAGAGAACCATTGGAAAACCCACCGTCTATTCTGTCCTAGTCTGGGGCTCTTCACGGTACGCGCCCACGGGGGCTCGAACACAGGACCTTCTGGTTACAAGGCAAGCTAGCTCATAGACCATTAAGCCACTGGGACCCAATCCAGTGGCCAGCCCATGAATCCTAACTTCTGCCAATTCATGACATAGTGCGACCACTTCGCAATGTCTTCTTCGATCGGGTCCCATTGGTTTAATGGTCTACGAGCTAGCTTTCCTTGTAACTAGGAAGTCGTGGGTTGGGACCCCATTGGGTGCGTACCGCTCAAAAGTCCCAAACTCGTGGGGTGAAACAGCTGTCCAGTACTCCTTGGCAGGTTTTCCAATAGTTCTCTAGGCGATGTCAGCTCATGATGAAATCTTCCAACTAATGAAACAAAATCCCTACGAAACCAATACCTGCCCACAAATTGTATCAGTAGTATATCAGTAGTAGTCTTGTGATTATTTAAAATATTATCATTATTACTATTACTTTCTGTAAGCATGTGTTATACTTCTTGCTAGTTCTTCTTCTAGTGTTATAGTTACCCTTTAACTTTCAATGAAAATTCGTTAAATTCACCACAGAATTTTAGTAGATTAGCACTGGATTATGATTATTATTACCACTATTATCACTATGTCTTAATTTGATTTCATTCCTGTACGAATAGTTTTCATTGCGTTATTTTTGTAACTTATTTGATATTTTGTCAATTATTAGTGTTATTATCAGTATTATCATTAATCTCTATTGTTTCGAATGGATGGACGGATGGAGCAAGCAATCTTTTTTTCTTCACTCGTTCTTTGTCCATTCTGACATGAACAATTAGAATATGTTATCTAATAAAAAGACATCTACACAAAATAATATGCTGGTAAATAGTGTTTCCAGTTAGATTCCATCTCGAATAGATATCAATTAGAGAATAACTAAAAACCAGACATAGATGGATAACCCACTTTTATATAATTTGGTTTAAAACTCTTTATCAGGACACAGAAATGATGCCACCGGAAATTGAATCGATGCTATTCAAGGTAAAAGAGGTGAATACGTTATCATTCAGTCATGCGAGTAGAGTTTAGCTTCCTGACAATATACAGCACGACTGCCAGGTATTGTCATCTTTGTCGGATCATCATACCGGTTATGACTTTTGATTAGAACTCCAGGAAACCGGTCCCATTATTCAGTTAAATAATGAGTAATATATTAGCTTTGAAGATTTCGAAAACGTCTGCCCCGTACTTCATGATCTTTAATGATATATCTAAATGATGTTGCTTCGTAATGGAAGTGTAACTTGGGACTAATCTAATCCGTAGAAAGTACACATCAGGACATTAGAAACAAAACAATAAGAATCTCAACACAGGTATCTTTTCGACGATTCGATCCTCAAAATTTATAGAATTCTATTTTTATTCATGACTTTACATAATTACATAAGTAAAATACTAAGTCGCGTCATCCTGGAGAGAATGAAAAATGCACTGGATTGAGAACTCCGCTAGCCAGGAACAAGCTGGATTCAGGAAAGACAAACCATGTGCAATCAAATAGCAACTCTACGCATCGTCATCACAAAACAAAGCATAGGATGGCAGTCAAACCTCTACTTCAGCATCACCGACTTCGAAAAGGTCTTCGACAGACAGCGTTGACCGAGAAGTAATTTGGAAACTGCTTCAACACTACGGTATGCAATGCCCAAGTCTTCATCAACCTCATTCAACAGCTGGCTATATGACAATCCCACGCATCAGGTGATCCACAATGGAAAACTCAGCGAAGACACGATTGAGACAAGGCTGCCTGCCTATTATTATTATTATCAACGATGATATTCTTAATTTTAGTGGACTGGATTATGCGTCAGCCTGTGCACAGGGAGTGAGAAGACAGGAATATGCTGCGCTGACCGATAAGAAGACTCCAGATGATCTGGATTTCGCACGTGGATAATTTATGTTTAGTGTCATAGAAACTCGAAACTTGCAGGCGAAAACCGACAAAAGTGGTAGAAGTGGCAGGCAGGTAGCGAAGACAGACTCCAGGTGAACATAGAGAAGACAGAGATGATGAAAATAAGCAACGAACTCCTAAAGCAGAATTACCATTAGTTGGAATGCGATAAACAAATAAAAATGCTGTATTAACATCGACTCCATGCTCACTGTCTACCACGTGCGCTAAAACACGGCTACAGATAGATCTTGTTTGTCCATTGTTTAACCATGCAAGATCATGTTCGGAAATACAATGATGAACCTACCTAATTGTACACCCGATGTATAATGTATCGCTTAACGTCTACTTTAGAAGTAGAATCTTTCATTTTAATATATTTTTAATTGCTTAAATTAGAACTTCAACTTTTGCATGTGAAATGAATTGTTTTTTTTACCAATATTAAATTCTGGCAAGAGTTTGAAGGTCATTCAAGTCAATCATGTGTTTGGGATACACTAAGTCCGTATTGACGCCTGCCTTGGTAATAAACTTGCTGTCAGGAAAAGCCTTTAAATTTTTCTGTCTGACTTGAGTATGATCCTTTTTACTCGACCGACTGCTTCAGTGTTTTTATCAATGAAGTGAGAGTGATAAAACCAGGGTTATGTCTCCCACATAACTTTATATATATTTTATATATTTATACTTATTCCTTTGCATCCGGAGTGGAACACTGAGCTTCCAAGCTTCAGAAGTAGTAACGTTTTTTATACTGGATGGGGTTGCTAGCATCACGCCCAAACCTTACCTCTTTGCCGAGTTTATTAACCCTGCTTACCATGGATTCGGAGCGTATTGACTGAGAGTTAGACCCCGGACAACGTGCGTGGTTGGTGAACCTTCTACCACTGAACCGCCGACGCATTATATCTTGAAGGAACTCATGTCCCTTCTCAGATTCGAATCTGATCACTCAACACTGCTGTCAGAGATATCGCCGCCGAGCTATTCGGGTTCATGTATAACTTTAAATTTAAAAAATACCTCAAACGTTTGAATTAATTATGTGTTTCATAGTGATAATTGTCCAGTTATCATTTAGTTGCCATGAAGATGTGCCTCATCGGCTTATCTACTCGACTTTAAGTCAGCCAGTCCCAGGTCCGAATCCTCCTCTGTCTACTTCAGCCTCCTTGACTGAGTTCTGACTTCTAACACAGTAATTTTGTGCAGAGATAGATTATTTTTTTATTATGATCGATGCACCTATTTTTCCGCTGCCCCGTGTGTCTTCCTCTTTTTGCTCTTACCTCGCTTTCTTCTTTGTCCCACTTAGTTTTTCTTATTCCTCCTAATAGTGTAGCCTTTATCCCTAAGTCGACAACTAATACAACTGCAAACAGACAAAAGTCTAACCATTATAATGAGCCATTTTCAGCTAACTCATAGAATTCATCATCATTTTCAGATCATCACTTCTCACAAATAATCAAATCTCAATTATGCAATAAATCCTTATTGTCAACATCATCTTTACAAGCTTGTTCAAATTTTATCCCTAAATATTCTGTTACAAAACCCACAAACAGACCACCACCAGCAACAACACCAACAACTGAGAAACCACACTTTTTGACTACAACATTGAGTAGTAATACGCGTAAAGTTGATCCCGCTAAACGATATCATCATCTATTGTGGAATCGATCAAAATCTCAGCTAATCCCGATAATAAGATCAACAACTATGCAACAAACTCTCCTGTCTAGAACCACAAATCATCAACGCCATCATTTTATTACTACAACTTTATCATCAAGAAGAACTGATGACGTCTTCTATTATCATTGGATTTTTGGTTAGTTAGAAATGGGGTGGGGGGGGGTAATCCCTGTTTATTTATCCTTGTTGAAGGTGTAGTCCTCCTGTCTGTTTTTCACACAATCGCACACCCACACATACATACACCAAATGTAACAGTAAATGCACCCTATTATTATTTTAATTTATCACTTTTGCGTACAATATAAACGCCTATAATGCATATTTGAGCACAAATATTATAGCTTTGTGCTTCAATGTATAATATGTGCTTTCTATATAATTGGTTATATTTTTTTGATCAGAGAACTGCATGCGTCTATAGTTTCTATTTCTTCTTCT